AATACACCAACCATCCACAGGCGAAATACACCAACCATCCACAAGCGGAAGTCGCTCAGGAGCCACAGGACCCTCACAATCCAGTATCAATTTCCCCCCACCATGCAGTTGCGAATCATGCACACTATCCACTGTGGAATCGATTTGGGCCAATGAGCCATACGTAGATGTAACTCAACAAACCTGGTTAACCAGGCTGCGAGTAATACTACAACCAAACAACAGGAAAGCTCTATTTATCATGCTTGGCTTGATCATGGCACAACAACTTGGCGGAAACTTCATCACTATGCAGTATCTTGGGGTGTTGTTTAGCAAAACAACGATCGGTATTGAACCAAAGGTAGCGACGATTTTGGTCCTAACTGTCGGCCTTATATCTAGCATTTTATCCACCATAACAGTGGAATCCGTTGGAAGAAGAACACTTTTGATTCTGTCTACGCTTGGCTCGTGTGTTACATTGATGATTCTAGCAATTTATCTTAGGTTCGATCAATATAAGCATGACGTTTCCAACGTCTCATCTGTTCCCGTTATCGACCTAATTATATATCAAGTAATGTTTCAAATTGGATTAGGTACGTTACCCAATGTTTTCCTATGCGAGTTATTTCCTACGGAACTAAAAGGCATTGTTGGTGCCATCATTGTGATTTTCGATGGTATAATTGGTTTTATGGTGTCGAAACTGTATCAAGTGATTACCGATAATGCAGGATCGTCTGCGGTTTACTTTATCTCCTCGATATCATGCTGCTTGGCATTTATGATGGTGTTCGTGTGGGTACCGGAAACAAAAGGAAAAACGTATCGCGAGATTGAAGCGCTTCTAGTTGGTAAAAACTTGAATTCTTTGAATGAAGGAGTTAGAACCGATGAAACGAATACGTAGATTGTGACAGGAAAAATTGCACCGTACGTCCGTGGCACGGTGTCTACATACTCGGCATATTTTATTTCCCATTTTTATTAGTATAACGATAAAGATTTACAATTTTATCACGATATGCAATTTTTGTAGTAACATAGTACTATTCGTTTGTACGTGTAGTTTTAGAAATGAGTCGAACGAAGGTGATGGTCATTTACAAACATATATATCGCATAAATTGACTTGCATTGAACTTAGAGGAATACATGTTCTCAAACTAAACTTTTTATCCATTTCATAACACGAACAATGTAACAATATCATTTAACTCGAGATAACTGAACAGCAGCAAAAGTTACAGAAGTAACATATTCAAGACTGACACGATGACATAACACTGTCAAGAACAATTCTTTATATATCAGCTGTTATCTATGCTGTTATTTTTTGCTTTTTGCAATATATAACATATGTATATCGCAAATACGTATGTTAATATTGTTACAATAAACGGCAAGTATGCTGAAAAAGTCGGTATGTATGCTAAAAATAATGTAATATAATTAACATAACACATTGTTAATAAGTACTTATATTACATTGTGTTTTGTCGCTGATAAGCATATGCGTTTACATATATAAATATATATGTGTAAGACATGGTCTTTTCAGCGCCATATTACAGTTATTACTGAAAAATATTTGAATATGTTAGTTCGAATATTATAGTAATTACTGTATCATAACACAGTGATAAATATCTAGCCTCGTCTAGCAGGAATTCTGTCCATTTGTCGAACGTTATTTTCGGTAAATTATGCCTATAATAATAGTGTTCAGTTCAGAAATTTATAACATTTCCTACTTTTAATATACGATAATTATTAAATGGCAAAAAGTTAAATATCGATGATTTAATAATGTTATGACTATCAATAATTATGTATTTAATGTGTATCTTTTAAACAGTTATCTTATTAAAAAGCTACAAGAAACATGGAGTTACTATCTATACATAAAATCACAAACAAGATTTTGAATATTCTATTTTATTTAAGTTTTATTGCAGACGAATTTCTTACAGACACACCCAGTGGAAATTAATTAAAGGAGTTCGAATGAAGACGAGTCAACTGTAATACCAAATACAGCTAAGGACCTAAACCTACATCATGCTAACTCGGTAACGTCGAGAACGATATTAAAATGGTAAAAAAACCACCGAGTTCACTGGGTAATGTACTCAGAATAGGGACCTTCTCAACCACGGTTCCATCGCCCCCCTCTTTCACAAAATATTACAAATTTTGTATAAAAAAATTCGAACAAATTCTTTCTTCCCATTTATTTGCAAAATATTAGTTCTTTGATCATTACCGAAAACAACAACAAAAAGAGCTTTAAAAACGACAGAAGCGAAAATTTAAACCTGAAAGTAAAGATTTAGTTAAACCAAAAACTAAACGTCATTTATATTATAATTCTCTGTAAGATGGCAATTCGTATATGTATCGGTATTTCACACATTCACTATTGCAAAAACGGGACTAGACGTGATATTATATAGGACTCTGTGTCGAGTGTTCTGTAATATCGATATCGAAAAATATCAGTGTTTTCCACGCTCTTTACAATTCATAACGTTGCGCCGTGACCATTGTAATTATCTAAAAAGTATTCTCGCCACATTTCCAGTACATGATCGTTTGAATGTGATCCGTTTTGTATACTTGGAGTTAAGTTTTGAAACTTTATAAGTGGTTATATAATAATCTGATGGATTCTAAAATTTAAAAATCTAAAAAGTTAATATAATAAATCTATTCTCCTGATAATTAATCTAAAACAATAACATCAATTCTTAACTGCATGTATAAACTAATTAAATATTAAAGTACTTATTAGGGACGGATTAATGCTTCTAGGAAGCATTGCATTTTGCAGTAAAGATACTTTATATAACCACGCACATGACTCACAAACGTTCCATCTAGAACATCTAATTTAATTTCAATACTTTAATCAGGAACCTAAAGGTGTTTTCGTAAGCCCTGTATAATACATACATATCCGAAAATAATAAAGGCACAGAGTGGCTTTATAAATCTTACCGATCAAGAATATAAAGATTCCCTTAAACCTAACTATAAAAAATCTAAAGGCTTCCTTATAAACCCTACCTATTAGAAATCAAGATCTTTCACTGTGTAACCCTGAAAAGAAGAATAAATCAGTAGCCATTAGGGCCAGCAAAATACGGCCATTATCCACTCGATATAATCCCGAGCAATAAATCGTGAGTGGACCACCTTTTCTTTTTCGCAATATTAATTAACTAAATTCATGTATAGAATAGAAAATTCTCAAGATAAATACACGAACAGTGCTTCATGCAATAGTTGCAATACAAATTAATTCACTAATGAAAATAAAAAAATTAAGATAAATACGAAACTTCCGCAAGTAAAAGTTGGATATTTTAATAATAAATAGTAGTATATGCACTCAAAACCACCTAATGACAAAATCCCCTATCACTTAGTTGCAAACCCAATAGCTCAAAGCCAATGTATACGAGAGTCCGATGATTCTTTACGTCGTGAGCCTGAACGCAATCTTATTCGATATAATTGGGGCAAGTGCACCAGGAATCGAGCAATATTGTACACATTCGCAGAAATTATAGATACGGTGTAAGTGTACTCAGTGTACGAAGATGCAGATGCAGGGAGGGAAAATGATTTGGGCGAAGCGTTTCCCTACAGAGAAAGTTACAAAGGAAAAAATATTTCGACACATGAGAGATCGTAGAAAATACGACAGTTTCAGTAGGAAACGTCGAAATAGAAGAAAAGTAAAGAGAACAAGAATTGCCGCGATAAAGGAAGCTATGCTCCAAGAAATTAAAGATAAATCAAATGCTGGATTATGATCGCAACGTAGCCGATGTAGTAACATAGAACAAAAATAACTAATAGTCGAAGCTGTGCAATTATTTTGGCTCATTTCAACTTTTATATTATAGGAAGTATGTATCATATAATAGTTGGCATTCGACTGTTCTAACATTATACTTAGGACGTTTCCTAGATATAATAAGTACAAAAACATTATTGTTCCTATGTCGAAATATTTAAAATTAATTCGTTAAATTTAAAGATATAACAAGGAGAATTAGAAGTGTTTATGTGTTGAAATAGTGTCGACTGTATGTAAAGGGGAAGTATCCTCAGAAGTACCCAGTATGGTTGTGGCATTCGTATAAATGGTACAAATCAATACGAAATCCGTTAATCGCGAGAATCAGTGTAAAGATTTCTTACAGTTGTTCTTACTTTGCGATAGATAATTACCAATGATCTTTCGTACAGTTTTTTAATAATTATGTGCGAACTGGATTCTACAACTTGATTTATTGAAAATCAATCGTGATTATATAATTGCGTGAAAGTACTCATTTCTGGCAGCATGACCCAGCGTAGGACGGTAAGCATTTAATATGATAATATAATAAATATTTTTGAAATTAACGGCTAGAAATTAAATATGGCAGAGTAACAAATCCTAAATTCTAATTCAACGAGAATATAAAAAAGCGTCTGTTTGATATACCTATTTCCAGCGAATTTAACTATTATTCTTTTATTTCCAAATAACAGAGACGAATCCATAGCAATTAAAGTTTTGATTCCTACGTCTCGATTTACAGTTTTGGCACATAATGAAATGTACTAACATATCGTGTCGATAATACCAAAGAATCGTCTGAACCTACGAATATGATTCGATATTTAAAAGTCACAATAATCTTAAATCTTCAACACTGAATCTTGATCGAACGTGATCATTTAAAATTTTGAATCTTTCACCCTGATTTAAACTGTCATGATCCACCAAAACATAATGTTCAAAGCTTAAAACTGTTACCTCTTATAAATATCGAATCATACTCAAAGGTTCAAACAGTTCTTCGGTATTATCTATACGACATGTTAATATATTTCATTAATTACAACAAATATTTAAGAAATATATAAAAACCTCTCAAATTATTATTGATTTGGAGGACACTCAAAGTAAATGATTTTAGAAGAAAGATGTCAAAGCATAAATAACCTTTGGAAAACGCCAAAACTCAAGTGAAAAACTCAAGTACGTCTTCTATCTATAATAACATCAAATAACATGAAGCATATTTTAATGCTGTTGATAGAAATACCATATATTGTATTTCTATTAAGATAGGAGATAGAAAATTTGTTAATTCCTTTGGAAAAATACTAATATTTAGATACGTATTAATATGTTTTCCGCGGTTTGGATGTTATATTCGCTTAAAAGTTTGCTTAAACTCTCTAATTAGAATGGAATTATGATTTCTATTCTTAACAAAGATATCTGTTTTCCAGGTTCCCAGGAGATCCTCTCAGGTTGATGATTTCAATCCTTTCCGTTCATCACCGGAAGGGGAAGCTCGTATGGTCCTCAACTCACAAGGCCAGCGATGCCTAATATCTATTACCGGTTAGTTTTCACTCTTGATATTTATCTGTAATTTCAATATGCAGAATGCAATTTCTTTTGCCTCCTCGAATTGATGTTTCATAGTGGTGTTCCTGAACTATTTCTCAATTCTAATGACTTACGTACCATCGTTTAAAGTTGCATTTCTATTCCATCGTACATTATAATAAATTTGACATTTCGATTCTGATATTCATCGCACTGATTCTTTATTATATCATAAATCGAGTGCAGACTTTTATATATTAATGAGAAATCTGAAATCGAAAATATGTACATTATTACACATTAATATACCTAGACTAATCGCAAGTCTCTAACAAATTTTACTACATGTAGTATTTTACTTCATGTAGTATTTTACTTCATGCAGTATTTTTCCTAATGCACATATAATGCGAATGGATTAACAGATTAATGATAGAATAGTTAAGAAGTGAAACTAGTGGAAAGCATTCCAGCTAACATCGCGAAGAGTTCAATTACTTATAGCCTGCGGTATGTATTAATTATAAATATATTAACAGTATATGTTAAAAGTACAAATTTGCATAAATATATGCAGTGTAATTATCAAACGACCGCAATACAATTAATATATGCTATATATAGCATTACCTGTCTCTCATTCCAGCAACGTTAGCCATGGTCATAGTCGGTGCAGTCAACGGATGGACAACGATTTCTCTTTATTATCTAATAGCCGGGATCGGCGGCGTGCCGCTGACGATAACACACGACGAATCTTCATGGGTGGTTTCTTTGACAGTACTTGGTTCAATGATCGGTTCACTTGTGGCTGCACAGTTGGCCGCCCGTAGCGGTTCTAACATCTGCCTCGTATTATGCAACACAATGTTCACCTTAGGCTGGTTCATCACCTACGACGCAACTTCCGTGCCAATGCTATACCTTGCTCGGGTGATTCTCGGTATAGGCGTTGGTATTGGCAGTACGGTAAATCCCATCTACATGTCAGAAATCCTCGACATCAAAATCAGTGGCTTCCTAGATTTTCTAATCGCAGCAAACGCATCTATCGGGACAATAGTGATCTACACCCTAGGACTCTGGATGATGTACAAGTCACTGCTGCTGCTTCTTGTAATACTATCCTTTATATGCTTCTTGTCGATCAAGTATTTCACCGGAACTCGATATTTCTCGGTGGCAACAGATCAAATGAGGCAAGTCACCAAAAATACTCACGGAGAGGAAATGGAATTAAGTGCTCCACGCGCACAGACCAGATACGAATTACACCAACAATCCAGAAGCGATTTATCCTCACAATCAAGAAGCGATTTACCCTCACAATCAAGAAGCGATTTACCCTCACAATCCAGAAGGGAGTTATCCTCGCAATCCATATCTGTACTACACTCAGAAGTCATATGCGAAGTATTACCGCAACCCAAAGGTCAAATACCCCTACAACCCTCGCGCGAATTACACTCACAATCCACAAGCGAATTACACCAACCATCCACAAGCGAAATACACCCAGAGCCCACAAGCGGAATACACTCACTAATAAGAAGGGAATTACACCGTTTAAATATACTCACTAGATATACCTGGTCAACCAAGCTGCGAGAAATACTACAACGAAGCAACAGAAAAGCTTTGTTTATCATGCTTGGCTTGATCATGGCACAACAACTTAGCGGAAACTTCATCACTATGCAGTATCTGCATGTGTTGTTTAGCAAAACAACGATTGGCCTCGACACATACGAAGCGACGATGTTGGTCCTGGGTGCCGACTCTATATCTAGATCTTTATCCCCCTTACAAGTGGAATCTATGGGAAGAAGAAAACTTTTGATTCTGTCTACGCTTGGATCGTGCTCTACATTGATTATTCTAGCAATTTATCTTTTGTTAGATCAACATGAGTTTGACGTTTCCAACTTCTCTATTCTTCCAGTTATCGACTTAATTATATATCAAGTAATGTTTCACATTGGTTTAGGTACGTTACCCAATATTCTCCTACGCGAGTTATTTCCTACGGAACTAAAAGGCTCTGTTCGTGCCATCATTGTAATTTTCGATGGTATAATTGGTTTTACCGTGCCGAAACTGTATCAAGTGATTACCGATAATGCAGGATCGTGCGGGATTTACTTTATCTTCGCGGCATCATGCTCGGTGGCATTTGTGATAGTGTTCATATGGGTACCGGAAACAAAAGGAAAAACATATAACGAGATTGAAGCGCTTCTAGCTGGTGAAAATTTGAATTCTTTGAATGAAGAAGTTCGAACCGATGAAATGGATATTCGTAGAATATGACAGGAAAAATTGCACCGTACGTCCGTGGCACGGTGTCTACATACTCGGCATATTTTATTTCCCATTTTTATTAGTATAACGATAAAGATCTACAATTTTATCTCGATATGCAATTTCTGTAGTAACGGAGTTTTATACGTTTCTAAGTGTAATTTTAGAAATGTGTCTAACAAAGCTGATGGTAATTTAGAAACATATGTATTGGATAAATTGACTTGAATTGAACTTAGAGGAACACATGTTCTCAAACTAAACTTTTTATCCATTTCATAACACGAACAATGTAACAATATCATTTAACTCGATATAACTGAACAACAGCTTGCAAAAGTTAGAAAAGTAATATATCAAAGAATGACAGGATAACATAATACTGACAGGAATAAATATTCTATATCTCAGCTGTTATCTATGCTGTTATTTTTTGTTTGCAATATATAACATATGTATATCACATATATGTATATCACATATACACATGTTAATATTGTTACAATAAACAGCAAGTATGCTCAAAAGGTCAGTATTTATGCTAAAAATAATGTAATATAATTAACATAACACATTGCTGATAAGTACTTATATTACAATGTGTTCTGTCGCTGATCAGCATATGTGTGTACATATACAATTATATATGTGTAAGACATGGTCTTTTCGGCGTTATATTATAGTTATTACTGAAAAATATTTGAATATGTTACTTCGAATATTATAGTAATTACTGTATGATAACACAGTGATAAATACCTAGCCTCGTCTAGCAGGAATTCTATCCATCTGTCGAACGTTATTTTCGGTAAATTTTGGCTATAATAATAGTGTTTAGTTCAGAAATTTATATTTCCTACTTTTAATATACGATAATTATTAAGTTCCGAAAAATTAAATAACGATAATTTTATAAATTTTTGTCTATCGACAATTATGTATTTATTGTATATCTTTTAAACAAATATCTTCCTTATTAAAAAGATACAAGAAACATGGAGTTCCTATCTATATATAAAATCACAAACAAGATTTTGAGTGTTCTATTTTATTTAAGTTTTATTATAGACGAATTTATTACAGACACCCCTAGTGGAAATTAATTAAAGGAGTCCGAATGAAGATGAGTCAACTGTAATACCAAATACAGCTAAGATCTTAAACCTACGTCATGCTAGAACGGTAACATTGAGAACGATTTTAACATGATAAGAAAACCTCCGAGTTCACTGGGTAAAGTACTCTGAATAGCAACTTTCTCTTCTACGGTAACATTACCCCTTCTTTTCCCCAAAATATTAATCATTTTGTATAAAAGAATTCGGAGAAATTCCTTATTCTCATTTATTTGAAAAATATTAGCTCTTCGATCGTTATGGAAAACAAATAACAAAAACATCTTTAAAAACGACAGAAGCGGAAATTTAAACCTAAAAGTAAAAATTTAGTTAAACCAAAAACTAAATTTTTTGAATATGTTTCTTCGAATATTATAGTAATTACTGTATCATAACACCGCGATAAACATCTAGCCTTGTCCAGCAGAAATTCTATCGAACTGATGAATGTTATCTTCGGTAAATTATAGCTATAATAATAGTGTTCAGTTTAGAAATTTATAATGTTTCCTACTTTTAATATACGATAATTTACACGAAAAATTAAATATCGATAATTTTATAAATTTTTTTCTATCAACGATTATGTATTTATTGTATATCTTTTAAACAAATATCTTCTTTATTAAGAAGCTACAAGAAACATGGAATTACCATCTATATATAAAATCACAAACAAGATTTTAAATGATCTATTTTATTTAAGTTTTATTGTAGATGAATTTCTTACAGACACACCTAGTGGAAATTAATTAAAGGAGTCCGAATGAAAACTGTCCGAAAACCGAAGTCAACTGTAATATCAAATACTGCTAAGGTCTTTAACCTACGTCATGCTAAATCGGTAACGTCGAGAACGATATTAAAATGGTAAGAAAACCACCGAGTTCAGTGGGTAAAGTACTGTGAATAGGGACCTTCTCTTCCACGGTTCCATCGCCCACCTCCTTCACAAAATATTACAAATTTTGTATAAAAGAATTCGGACAAATTCTTTATTCCCATTCATTTGAAAAATATTAGCTCTTCGATCATTTTGGAAAGCAACAACAAAAAGAGTTTTAAAAACGACAGAAGCAGAAATTTAAACCTGAAAGTAAAGATCTAGTCAAACCAAAAACTAAATTTCATTTATATTATAATTCTCTGTGAGATGCTAATTCGTATATGTATCGGTATTTCACACATTCACTATTGCAAAAACGGGACTAGACGTGATATTATATAGGACTCTGTGTCGAGTGTTCTGTAATATCGATATCGAAAAATATCAGTGTTTTCCACGCTCTTTACAATTCATAACGTTGCGCCGTGACCATTGTAATTATCTAAAAAGTATTCTCGCCACATTTCCAGTACATGATCGTTTGAATGTGATCCGTTTTGTATACTTGGAGTTAAGTTTTGAAACTTTATAAGTGGTTATATAATAATCTGATGGATTCTAAAATTTAAAAATCTAAAAAGTTAATATAATAAATCTATTCTCCTGATAATTAATCTAAAACAATAACATCAATTCTTAACTGCATGTATAAACTAATTAAATATTAAAGTACTTATTAGGGACGGATTAATGCTTCTAGGAAGCATTGCATTTTGCAGTAAAGATACTTTATATAACCACGCACATGACTCACAAACGTTCCATCTAGAACATCTAATTTAATTTCAATACTTTAATCAGGAACCTAAAGGTGTTTTCGTAAGCCCTGCATAATACATACATATCCGAAAATAATAAAGGCACAGAGTGGCTTTATAAATCTTACCGATCAAGAATATAAAGATTCCCTTAAACCTAACTATAATAAATCTAAAGGTTTCCTTATAAACCCAAATGCTATAATATTATCATATTATAATATTATAAATTCAAATGCTGCATTATGATCGCAACGTAGCCGATGTAGCAAATGAAACAAAAATATATAATAGTCGAAGCTGTGCAATTATTTTTGCTGATTTTAATTTTTACATTATAGGAAATATGTATCATATAATAGTTGGCATCCGACTGTTCTAACATTATAATTAGGATACTTCCTAGATATAATAAGTACAAAAACATTATTGTTCCTATGTCGGAATATTTAAAATTAATTCGTTACATTTAAACATATAACAAGGAGAATTAGAAGTGTTTATGTGTTGAAATAATGTTGACTGTATGTAAACAGGAAGTAGCCCCAGAAGTACCTGAGTTTGTGATAGTAAATCAGATTACCTAAACTTGATAATATATAATTAATAATTGATTTGAGAATACAAGGATGGAAATAGAAAAGATTTAAAAAATCACATTTTTGTTTCAGATATATGAAATTGCAATTTCATTTAGAACTGATTAAACGATTTACTTAATTCTTATTACAGTACTTTACTATACAGTAATTTATTATTTTGATAGTGTGAAATATTGTAGCAAGATAGAATTATATTTCGCTGCGAGTATTGGATATCCAGTTTTATATTTTATTTATAATTTCGTACAAGATTGTAGTCTTAATTCAAACAAGTATTAAACTGAAATAGTAACTTCGCATGCGACACGAAAATGGTATGGAGAGGTCATCCGACCCGCAAAATGTGAACAAGCACTGAATATCACGTCTATTCCTGTTCCTCGTCTGTGGTAAAATTGTTTTAAAAAAGAGAATGTTGCGTTTCATAAAGAATTATACTATTTATCTACTTACACTACCTTATCTACTTAAACAGTACTGTTAATTATGCATGTATAATTAAATGCATGTATAAACTAATTAAATATTAAAGTACTTATTAGGCACGGATTAATGCTTCTAGGAAGCATTGCTTTTTGCAGTAAAGATACTGTATATAACCACGCACCTGACTCACAAACGTTCCATCTAGATCCTGTCCCATCAAATTTGAAAACTCTACCTGATAGAACATCTAATTTCAATACTTTATTCAGGAACCTAAAGGTCTTTTCGTAAGCCCTGCATAATACATACATATCCGAAAATAATAAAGGCACAGA